GTTAATGAATATTTACAGAGCATTTATTAATGAACATTTATTAATGTTAATGAATATTTACAGAGATTTTGGATTTCCATTCATTAATTGTTGCACTTTTCTCCCTGCCCAACCCTCCCCTGCCCCCTGACCCAATTCTCAGTTGTGGATAAATATAACATGCACAATAAATCCTTTTTCTGTTAACTGAAGGAAACAAATCAAAACACAAGCTGGAGGCATTCTTCATAACACTTAACTCATTGCTCTCAAGTTGGAAAGACTCATAGCTGACATTCCAAGGGGGTTTTCTGAGGCTGTGGCCTGCACAGGAGAAGACAGTCCACCTTCCTCCCGAGGAGCCACAGGAACATTGAAGCAACCAAAGAGACACTGCTTTGCAGTGTCCTACAGCATTGCATCTCCCTACAGCTCACTCTATTCATAACAAGCAAAGGTAAAAACAACTCAAATGTCCATCAGCCAAGGAACCCAGGGTGTACTGGGCTGCTAAACAAAAGGTCAGTAGTTCAAGTCTACCAGCTGCTTCCTGGGAGACAGATGGGCAGTCTCATCCCATTGAGATCTATAGCCTCAGAGAGTCGATAGAGGGTTGTCATAAAGTCAGAATCAACTCACCGTCAAGTCATCCACCTGATGGAAAGTTACACAACATGTAGCATATACATACAATGGGATATTTTCATCCACAAAAGGGAATGATGTACTGCTATATGGCACAAGATGAACAAACCTTGGAATATTGCAGTAAATTAAAGAAGTCAGTCATGAGGGGACCACATTTTGCATGATTCTGCTTATAAAATCTAGAAAAGGCAAGTCTACGAGATGGATTGACATAGTGACTGCAGCAACGGGCTTAAGTTTGTCACAATGATGAGGATGGCATCTGACAGGGCAGGTTTGAGAGTTGTTTTCATAGAGTCACTATGAGTTGTACTCAATTTGACAGCAACTAACAAGAATACAGAAAGTATGTAAGTGGTTACCTAGGCCTTGGAGGGAATGGGTTGACAGAATGTGAAGGTGCCAATTAAGTGGTATGAGGCTTTTAAAAATTTTTATTTTATATTGGTTTGCTTACAAAGTTTATATACATTCTGTTTCACACTATCCTTCACATTGTATTTCATAGTTATTACCATTCATTACATTTTAAAGGATTAATCAACATTGAACTATGCCCACAATTACCCTGTCTTTCCAGATCCCCACCAGATCTTTCCCATTTCTTTCACCCCTTTCCTCCTTCCACCCACCAAATTGTGCAACCCTTTGATTTCCCCCTGCCCATGCTCACCCCTCTGCTCCTACCCTCTCCCGCTTAGAACTTCATACACATTTTACTAGATATATTTCTATTTCTACAATAACGGTCTTACACACTCTTTGTTGGATGTGAGGGTTTTTTGAAGGCAATTACAATGTCCTAAAATTGGACTGTGGGGATAACTGCACAATTCTGTGATAATAAAAACCACTGAATTGTACACTTTAATTAATTGTACAGTATATAAACTGTATCTCAATAAAGCCATTAATACATAAACATATGTATATATACATACATGTTGTTGTTGCTGAGTCAAGCACGACTCATAGTGACCCTATGAACAAAAGACCTAGAGCCTTTCTATAACTATCATCGTTTCTCAAAGTTTATAGAATTTTCAAAGGCACGTGGTTTAGGACATGGACGCCACTCCTGCTTCCAACCGTGTCTTAAACTAGGAGCTCCACCGAACACTGTCCACCATGGGTAACTGTTATAGCATTTGACAACTCAATGGCACAAAGTTCAGCATCACAGCAACCCCAAGTATCTCAAATATTGAGAGAAGAATGCTGTACCACTTAGAAGAATGTTCCTCCAAAATATAGTAACAACTGACGTTTAAATACAAAGGCCCTTCACAAAGTCTTGTTGACTCTAAATAAGAGGCTTAAATAGAAAACAACTAGTATATGCTGGGTGAAGTATCTCAGTCACAAAAGGACAAATACTGCATAGTGCCACTGTTGTAGAATGAGACTGACATCAGGGTTGGGGTAAGACTAAGAAAAATTGGATAACTTATGTATAATGCATTGAAACAGACGAGGGAGAGAACAGTTTAAAAGCGATATATGATTGGGTATTACAGTTATGACAAGAGTCCAGAATGAAGTGGAGTGTACTCGGGTTGGAGGAGGGGAGGGTTGTATACCAATGAAAGAATTTTTCTTTTACTTTTCAAAGGGAAGAGTGAACTAGAGGGGTTGGGGTGGGCAGGGAGAAAAATGCAACAATGAATGAATGGAAATCCAAAATCTTTGTAAAC